AAGTGAATGAACTGAATTTATTTAATTATTAAAATATAGGTTCACAAAGAGCATAAAAGAAAACATGTTAGCTAAGTAATTTTAAAAGCTTTATATATTCTAAAGCATGCATTCAAAGTAATTTAAATTAAAAGTTTATAATTTTGTCAAAATAAAATTGCTTAAATGTAATGCATATATATATATACAGTATATACATATATATATATATATATATATCACTCTGAATTGCCTTAAAGATGAGGAGTGACTATGGTATGAGAACACTAAATTGTGGCAGAGGCTGTGAATGAATGCTGATTCTCAGTCAGACGTGCGTCGCGGTCGGCTCATGGGACGTGGGCTGCAGGACTTAACATTCACTGCACTGCGCCTCATGCCTGCTGAGCACCGATTCATTCAGAAACTGAAACCACCTGGTCTCGTCTAAGGGAGCAGAGGAGTTCGGGTCCCGCCGGTGATGTTATCCCGCCGGTGACTGCTTTGGGTTGCCATTATCTGTTTTGCGACAAGATGAACTTTGTTTGCCGGAGCAATGGAATATCAAGTATCTCATTTGTCCTGTCTTTGTAGTCAATAAACATTGTTTTCATTCGTTTAAACGAGTCTGTTGGGCCACGTTGTTATACCCATGACGCTGTTAATTTGGAGGAAATTGTTCTCTGAAATAACACTGAGGAAAGTATTGCACTTGCAGCTGATTTTTTGAGATAGTACATCCTTGAGTACCGTTTCAAGGCTAAACATTATGAAAATTTACTGCGGTGACCATTGTTTCTGCCAAAAAATGTGCACTATTTGGAATCAGTAAAATGTGCAAAACTAGCTGCTGCAATGCTAAGTTGTTATCATGCTGTGGTGGAGTTGTTAGGTTGATACCAGTGTGTTTGTGGTGGTTAATTATGCCCATAATATACTTTTTGTTTTGTTTTGTTTTTTGTTTGTTTTTTACACTTGTGTTGAATGCAAAGTATGCTTCATTTGATAGCAAACTAGAAAGTCAGCTATCAAAAGAAAGTTTTGGATTAGAAAGTCTGCTATCATACTAGAAAGTTTCATTCTTGTCCAGTGTCTGCACTATTTCTCTCCAGAAGTTATGTGTGATTTGAAAAAAAAAAAAAAACTCCGGCCCTGTCTACATGGAGACGCGTTTAGCTGTATACGGAAAACATTTGTATCATATCGGCATTTCGTCCAGATGGATCCGGCGTTTTGGGAGCCTGAAACCGCTATTTTTTTAAACCGGGTCCCAGAGTGGATAAATCTGAAAACGATGACCTTGCGTTTTCGTGTGTACAACGAATCCGTATATTTTGTGAAACGATGATGTCATCACCCCACGTCTCGACCCTAGTCAAATGCTGCTACCTTACGTAACAGCAACAACAACAACAATGGCAGACTACATGCTAGGGCTGAAACGATTCCTCAAATAACTCGAGTAACTCGAATACAAAAAATCATCGGGCTTCGTTTAGTCCATTTACTGTAACTACACACGGAACACTGCGTTTCCCCTCGGACCATTATTACTGACGCACAAACTGATATACGCTGGACATATTTAAGACCGTAAATCAATATGCTGGCTAGCTATGATGTCCCTAAGTTAGCTATGTTTTGTTAAAAACTAAGCACCATTCATGTTGATTGCCTCATTCTATCTCTGTGACACACACACACACACACACACACCTCATACAGTTATGCATAAAAATACCACAGAAAGTAAGTTAGTCAATATCACACAAAGAGTGCCTGTTTTCACCTCTAAAATCAGCACAATTACAAATGTGATACTGATTTTATGCAACATTTCAAGAAACAATAAGTTAATATTAAGAGACTTACCTTTTAGACACATATTGCATGTTTTGCTCTCGCCAACAAAAAATAATTCCAAACTCAGCCACAGCAGTTTTGCATCTCTGAGCAACATGACAGGGTTTTGTTCCTGAATGAATCAACCGTTTAAATTATTTGGTTCAATCGCAATGAATCACTTATTAACAGTGACTTGCTGCCACCTGCTGGCGATTTTAATTTGACATTTAAAGTATCTTTCATTTTTTTAAATAATTGTAAATATCAGTATTCAATGTTTTATGTTTAAAATAACAAAATATTATTTATGCATTTGTAACTGCAGGTTAAATGCATCCATGTCCCTCTGAGCTGAATTAAATAGTGTAAATAGGCCTTCATCTAAATGCCTCTTCAGATGCAGCTTCTGTGTTTCCTCTGCATTGCAAAGATAAATTGTGTTGATACTGATATAATTTGTTTGGTAACAGCCCAAATGTCTTATTATTCTAATTGACTGATTAAATGTAAGAATTTTACTCAAAAGATGATGCACACAGAAAAAAAGGCTTCATAAAGGTAAAAATGTCCATAAAATGTAAAAATCAATTTAAAATAATTGGAACAGATTAATTTCTATCACTGCTGTGAACTGAGAACTGACCAGTACATAGAATATAAAGGATATCAAAAGCAAGTTTTACACACACACACACACACACACACACACACAAACACTCACACACACACACACACACACGCGCATGCGCACGCACGCACACACACACACACACACCAGTAAGTAGAGAGACATTTATTCTCCAAATAACTCTAATTTCATGTTGCAGAAAAATGTGTTTAGAAATTGTATATGGACCCTTCCTGTCCACTGATTATTGCCTCTCACAAAAGCCACAAAGCCTTCCAAGAAGACAGTAAAGGCTCATGTCATGCTTGAGCTTTAGTTAGGCTGAAACTTGAAAGTTAATTTGCACGACATAAATGCAATGTTTAGGTATTATTATTATTTGTATTACTATTATTTTGATTTATGCCTTAGTTTTAGTTTGTACTGTTTACATTTTTTAAACTAATGTGAAATAGATTTTTATATTTTTTTATTTATGCCTTAGTTTTAGTTTGTACTGTTTACATTTTTTAAACTAATGTGAAATAGATTTTTATATTTTTTTATTTATGCCTTAGTTTTAGGTTGTAATGTTTACCTTTTTTAAAGTAATGCGAAAAGAATTTTGTATTTTTATTTATTTATTTTATTTTTTATTTATATTTTTATTTTATTTTTTATTGATATATCTGCATTTGCATTTTGAATGTAATTTGGAAATTAAATGCATTAAATGGATTTAGTTTTCACGGTCATTCATGTATTTTTACATTAATTTCAGCAATAAAAACTGTATTGTTTTCTAAAAAGGAAACAAATTAGTTGTTTATTTTAAGAGACCTATCTTATTTTCTCTTGTATATTTAATATTGCTCTTTAATAAAGAAAAATTACTTATTATCCGATTACTCGATTAATCGATTGAAAAATCAATAGAATACTTGATTACTAAAATAATCGATAGCTCCAGCCCTACTACATGCGTGTGTTCGTGTTGCAGAAGCTACTGAGCCTATTAGCTTTATTAAAGAAAAATACAAAAATTACTTAAGCAAAAATGTTTGTATACAGCTCGCAAGGTTTTTCCGACTGAAAACAGCCTGAGACAATGTTACCACCTTGTGGACAAGCTAATTACTGGATAAAAAATTAAGGCACATATGTGAGATTCACAATGTTTGTGGTGCCCACAAACAGTATATGCATACTGTACGAAATTCGCACAGTTTGCATACCTTGGTTTACGTATAGAACCCAAACTATACTTTAGGCTTTACTGACTGAAGTACTAGCAGTAGTAGTTAGTGATGCTAAGCTTAGCAAAGGCCACAAATGAAGCAATGGTTGAAAGTGGTTAACAGAAATATTGCCAATATTTGCAATTTTTAATTAATGGCATCGGCTGATAATTTTCTGTTTGGCTGATAAGTATTATAATTGGGACTTTTATTTTGAAAGTGCTGAGAACCAAACACACGAGCGCCCATTCTCCATCTTCATTAGTTTCATTAGTGTCTTTGTTTAACTGTTCTAATAATTGAATAGCAAATGTTATATTACTTTATTCATATACTGTTAGCATTCAGCAAATATGCATTTTAAGCAAGTTTTATCTAAATATATATAATAAACATGTCATGCCACAAACCTCGCACATCTGCTAATTCTGCCGTTTGCCGTTATGTGATATTTGCTCTGTACTGTATGTAAAATTAACATTACCTGGTCTTTTCAAAATTATTTACATTACTGTTGTGTACTGCTTATAGTATTTACTTCTTTTTTTATTGTTTGTGAAAAAAAATACTATAACAGGATTACAGAATCCTATTTGGAGTATAAATGTTTTTATGTTACAGAATCTCAAAGTTGATTCATTTCCAAATGATTTTTTACAAATATTTTAGAATATATTATTTAACATGAATTTAAATCTGATTGCAGAAATTATGAATGTGTTTACTATATTTAAATGAAATTGTGTGATTATATAGGCCAGTATCACCTTTATATCTTCATTTCCATAAAACAAATCCATATCCGACCATCAGTTATTAACATGTTTTCATTTGTGTTGTCTTTTATTCATGATATTTGACTTGACTACCTCCTTCTGTGCTCGAGCTTCAGCTCTTTCATTCCATGTGGAGGCTGACAGAAACACTTCGCCCTTCCCACAGTGCAGTCCACAACCTCTCTGTGATATCCCATTAGTCTAGTTGACAGCTAGTGAGGCAGTTGGGAGTACCGCCAATGGACTGTACACTCCACGCAAGAGTATTCATTTGAATAATTTGGCTAGGCTTTTGCCTTCACAATAAGCAAAGGGAAAATGCATGAGGCTATCTGCCTTTTATATCACAGTATCTGTTTGCCGCTGTGTAGTTAGCAGCAATTTTCAAATTTTGCTTTTAGCTTTTCTTTTTTAAAATGGCCGATTTACAGTGATTTATCTGTGCACAATATGTAATTATGAAATTAAGAAGCGAATGTGGTTCCTCCCAGTGCGTTGAATGTGTTCTCTCTGCCTCACGGTCTGATATTAACAGTTTCGTTACTTCTTTTGTAGATGACTGCCTCAGATGGGGTTCAGGAGAGCTTTCCAGTCACTGTTAATATCACTGTGATTGACGCCAATGACAACACGCCTGCCTTCCTCAACGTCTCCTATAGTGTGAATGTTTATACAGACATGCAGCCTGGAGACACAGTCTTACAGGTAATCAATAAGATACTCTTCCACTGCAATAAAATCACTTCTTTAACAGCATTTTGTTTGGTTCCCTTCCGAGGGAACTTCGAACTGCTTCCTCTAGGGGTCACTATGGGGAAACTAGAGGACGCAGTGTCTCGTTCCCTTCTCAGGGAACCATGGTTACATACGTAACCTGAGACGTTCCCTTCCGAGGGAACTTCGAACTGCATCCTCTAGTTTCCCCATAGCGACCCCTAGAGGATGCAGTGTCTCGTTCTTTTCTCAGGGAAGGTCTCCAGGTTACGAATGTAACCATGGTTCCCCGAGGGAACGAGACGCTGGAAACGCCCCCAGCGTTTCCGACGCAGCTGGAGTTCCTGAAGGGGAACCTTGGTTACATACATAACCTGAGACGTTTTCCAAGAAAGACATTTAAGCATACTTTAAGAAAAATCATGAATTTACTTGAAGCCTTGTTGTCTGTCAATATATTTTGATTTGTGCTTTATATACTTCAAAAAATAAGCTGTGGATATATTCTCTGAAAATATGTATTTTATAAAATTTTCATCTTCATCTTCTCAAATGCATTGACCTTGTTTTAGAAATGTTTAGATTTCTTTCCTGGAAAACAAGGCAAAATCATATTTGCAGAGCTTTTCACCCTTAATCCACTCATTTGAATTAATGGCTGTAGTTCCCACATTTATGAGGGGCTTATTGCTGCAATAATTGCTCAGATCTCTGTTTAATCTTTGTCTTAATGGGAATTTTCTTTAGAAATGTGTGCACAAATGATTCCTTTGCAATCAGAACATGAGCAGGGTGTAGATTTGCTCTGACATGCTGAAAGATTGACCCCAGAAGTCAAAATTAAAAAGTACAAGTTGTATCATCTAAAAGGTTAACTGCTCTATTATATGCTGCTAGTTGTCACTTTATAAAGGCTCTGAAATAAATCCTTATCTCCCTGTCTGTAGAACCAGTGAGTCAGAAAGATCAGTGCTACATATTATTAGCAGGTAATTCCAAAAAAAAACGTGTATGGGTCACCTTTTACATTTCATAAAAAAAAGTAATAATAAAAAATATATATTTTAGAGTTATAAAAAAATTGAATTATATATAGATAATAAATTATATTAATAATGTATAATTAAACAAATTAATATAGAAATTATACAATAGCAGCCTGATCCAGAGAGGAAGCTTGGACAGTGATGAACGTGAATAAGCACCTTTGCATGTCCCCTCTGAAGTAACAGCTCCAATTTATTTATTTTAGCTGGCAGCAGTGGACGCTGATGAGGGTCCCAACGGGTTGGTGAGCTACAGAATCTTGGCGGGGGATCAGGGACACTTCACCATCAATGACTACACAGGAATGATCACCGTGCTGCCCGGTGTCAACCTGACCGTGGGCCGCTCCTACGCCCTCACTGTTAGGGCCTCTGACAATGGCCCTGCGTCCCAGAGAAGGTAAATCAACTAAAAACCCAATGAGGGTTGAAAAAGAGTGCGTCTCTCACTCTCTAACAGAAGACTCAACCTATCATGCCCAGTTTGAGATCAATACAATGCCCACATGGTGACACATTTTGCTTCGGAAATATCCCCAAGAACACTCAGCCGATATTGGCCCCTGCTCTTGTCCATCTGACACTTGGAAGAGCGGAAATTAAGGGCTTTTCACTCTAATTGCTGCTACCTCCCCTTCTGTCCAATTCATACCAGCCGCTGCCCTCTGTAATTCTTGCTGACTGCTGAATCAATACAGATGAATGAAGCAGAAATAGAATGAGGCCAAGCAAAGTTCAGGAAATGCATTGTTTCACTTTGCAAGTTTAAAAGTGTCTAATATTCACAACAAACCAATCTAAATTCAAAGTTCTTCTTCACTACTTGGTTGAAATCCACTTTATCGAGGTAGAGAGGTTTATGGTGAAAGCCAAAGGCAGCAGGTGTGCTATTATATGTGTTGGACAGATGGCAGTTCAGCTTGTGAGCACAGGGTAGTTATTGTCATCTCTTATTTTTCTGCTTTAAAGTTTTATGAGAGCGCTGGCATCAAATTCATCATATTGGAACATTTTCAAAGTGAAAATACTCCCCGATCTAATTTGCTTCAATCACGTTGATGAGTGCCTTGATACAATGTGTCACAAAACAATGACAGGACCAGGTTTGGTTTTCACTAAACATCGAAAAACAACCTAAGCAATTCGACTGCCATTATTAGCTAGACTTACAGAAAAGTGTTCAAAATAAATAAATAAATAAATGAAATAAAATAAAATAAATAAATACGAAAATAATATATTTTTTTAAATATTCAAATTAATTATATGTAGATAATAAATTATATTAATATATAATTAAGATTACGAAGCATTATATATATATATATATATATATATATATAAGGATTTTAACACACACACACACCAGATCACTCGATTTTGAAAAAAGCATTTTAGGAAATTATATGTTGAAACTAGTTTTGTATAGCTGATTGTTTTGTGGCTGCGGTGGCATAGTTAGTAGCTGGAGGGGATGCATTAGCTATCATGTCGTTCCCCTGAGTGAGACACTTAATACGTTTGTCAAATACAGGAATATAAATCATGTTCCTTTTGTTTCTTCAGAAGTTCCATCACTACGGTGTATATCGAAGTGCTGCCCCCCAACAATCAGAGTCCTCCCCGTTTCCCTCAGCTCATATACAGCCTGGAGGTCAATGAGGCCATGAGGACTGGAGCCACACTGCTCAATATACAGGTGACTTACCCATCAGCTCCATGACCAGTTGAGCTATTCTCATTAGGGTATTATTGTTTAAATAAAAATGTGAGAGTATCATTAATATTAATATTGTAATTCTAAATGTATGAATGATCTGTCAAAAGTTTGGAATTTTAATCAAAAATACAGTAAAAACAGCAATATTGTGAAACATGTTTACAATTGAAAATAAATATCTTGTATTTGAACACATTAAAAATGTATTCCTGTGATGGTAAAGCTGAATTTTCAGCAGCCGTTACTATTCGGTGTCACATGATCCTTTAGAAACCATTCTAATGACTGGCGATTTGGTGCTCACTTATTTTTAATTATCATTGGTGCTCAGTTAAACATAATGGTTCTTATTGTTGTTAATGCTGAAAACTAGTTCCAAAAATTTCCCCAAAAAGTTGTTCTGGATTTTTTGATAAATAGAAAGTTCAAAAGAACAGTATTTATTTAAAATATATCTTTTGTAACATTATAAATGTCCTTACTGTCACTTTTCATCTATTTAATGCATCCTTGCTGAATAAAGTATTCATTTCAATTAGGGATGCACCGATACCACTTTTTCCAGTACTCGCCCGATACCGATACTTTTATTTTTGGTACTTGCCAATACCGAGTACAGATGCCGATATTTTTATTGCATTTGTACATTTTTTAAATATTGGGTACAGAAACCAAAATAGTATGTATAATGTTAGTTGGTTAACTTCATTTATCAAATAGATACAGTCAAACCAAAATATATTCAGACACCTTCAACATAAGCTCGCGCATCTGCGCTGCCGCGCACTCAATCCACTCAGCGTGATTTGCTTACCAGCTCGTGCACACCAGCTATACAGGCATTAATACTGAATGTTTAACATTATATTCATTGCATACATATACTTTGTAGTAGACATCCTTAACTCCATTCTGCTGTTCTGTTGTCAGTGTTTCTTTGTTTGAATATAACGGTTATCACATGCTGTATGGTATCGGCGTTTGGTATCGGGGCATTTTACAATCAATCAATCAATACTTACTAACCCCAAACTTTTGAATTATAGTGTTTCATGATTTCCAGAAAACACTTGATTTCTGCTGCTTAAAATGATTTCTGAAGGATCATGTGACACTGAAGACTGGAGTAATGATGCTGAAAATTCAGCTTTGTGCAACACATGAATATACAATGCAATATATAAAATACCATAACACAGAAAACAGTTCTTTAAAATAATAATTCATATGTAATAATATTTCACAATATTACTGTTTGTACAACTAAAGGCAGCCTTTGTGATCATAAGGACGTCTTTTAAAAACTTTTTTTTTTTTTTAATCTTAATTATTTAGCATCCAAAACTTTTGACCTGTACATTTATCAAAATATATTCATATAACTTTTCACCAAAACATTGATGTTAAAGTAAAAAAAAAAAGATCATGGATATATGTAATGCATGTCAGTATGTGTTTCCTGATCACAAAGTTTGAAGGCTGTGTCTTTCTCATCATAATTGAATTAGTGTAACACAAAAACACTTTTTGTCATTTGCAGGCAACCGACCGTGAAAGAGATCCCATTACATATACCATCCTGAGAGGAGATCCAAACAACGTCTTTGAAGTCTCCCAAACGTAAGCTGGCTTTGAAAGGCCGGAAAACAGCTGCTCTGCCAAAACCCATCGTTTTTTGGGATTTGAATAAGCAGAAATGATATTGTAATTGTGATTCAGAAACCCTCACACAATGATTTGCACTCAGAGAAACAAAAGCTTTTTCTCTGTGAAATAGTTGTGTGTTTGGGTTAGCCACATCCTGACCTGAACTGGATGCAGATTACATTATGACACAAACATGATGCATAATTAATAAGTATTGATGAAAATATTAAAGGGGTGGTTAAGTGGTTTTTTTCTAGGCTTGATTGTGTTTATGGGGTGCAGTCTAACATGTGTTAATGCTTCGTTTTTTAAAAAACGCATTATTTTTCACATAATTTACCTTTATTCCACACCGCTCTGTCCCTTCTCTGAGACGCGTCTAAACATCCCGCCCCTCTCATCAGCGGCATGTGCTCCGGTTGTATTGTAAACAAAGGCGTTGTTAATATCGCTTATCAGTTTGAGCCCGATTGAGAAGCATTCATATATGAACAGATTTTTACGTGCACCTCTAGTTCTCTTCCTCTTCTCTAAAGCAGCGCAGCATGGCCTCGCCCCCTTTGCTGCCTTTTCCCGAGGGCGGGGTTTATCTGGGTTTGTGATGTCATGAACCCGGGAAGTAACTCGTTGTAAGTCCCTACCAGATGTTTTTGTAGGCATTAAACTGCCAGAATTTTAAAAGACGATATCTCCGTTTGCATTGAACTTTCAGCTTCGTGACTTTGCAGATATTGTTTATCCTCAAACAGCAACATTACACACTAACTATTGTTAAAAAAGTGAAATCGCAATGAACCACCCCTTTAATTCCTCCATTTCAAATAGCAGCTTCGGACATTTCAGCTTTTGCTTGGGGTGAAGGACCGACAGTACGTAAATGTTTTCAGAGCAAAACCTAGGATGCATTTTATTTTATTTAGCACTCCATAAAACGAGTAAACAACATTAGGTGACTGATATCTCTGACTCTCTTTCTTTAGTAAAGCATGTTATTCTCCGTAGTGTGCAGGGTACCAAAGGGCATTTCAGTCATAGCCTGGAGCAAAGCTTCTGATCCTGTTCTCGAGTTATTTAAGCAGGATATCACAACCAGGACACACTTCTAATGAACCGCTACTGTTCTTTCAATAAGCAGCAAGTGAAGAACAGAACAAATATAGCTATATTTCTTGAACTACCTGAGCTTATCTCTCACAGTTACAGTTTCTTTCTTTCCTCTCCTCCTTTCCACAATGCCTTCTGCTCCCCACGGAGTTTACGATAGAGCTGTCTGTTTGAGGGGATTGTGTAACTGTGGAGTCTGGAAAAGTCTGGCTGGAGGGTGAATATGGTGATATAAAGTATATGTTTAAAAAGCACTTTCATGGGGGTTGGAAGTGTGGGGTTATCCTTTCATAAAGTAAGCGAAATCGAATTTTAAAGTGGAATTATTGAGAAAAGTTCAAAATAACTGTAATAGATTTTCAAGCAGAAGGAATGTAAGAGGTTTAAATGGATTTGAGATATTCTCAACTTAGCTTAGGTTAAAGTGCCAACTCTCCTGGTTTATTTTGGAAACCAGCTATGTCTGACAACTTATATGAGTCATGATAGTTCAGGTCTTCGACCTTTGTGTCTACCGTGAAACGTATTACCAGGTTGTGTCAGTGAATAAATATATAAATAAATACATGTTCTTTGCTGGTGTTAACCTCATTTATTTATTTATTTACCATTGTTTCACCCTTTGAATTAATCAACACGTGTTTGCTGCTCTGCTTTTGGAAAACAGAACTATGTTGTGATACATTCATAAAACAATCTGCATTGAAGAATTACACTTATTAAACTATTCATGAGATAAACAAGATGACTGAAATGATCATAGACATTGTTAAAAATTCAACTTAATCCACTCATTTGTAACATCCTCAGAAGGATATGCAGAGTTGTAGGTGCTACACACAGCCAGAAATAGTGCAAATGTTTAGCATTTTTCTACATTTTACTCATATCATAATTTAATTCGATATATCATATTTATTTTACTTCAACATGAATTTGAGAGCAAATTCCAAATTTTTTTGACTTTAGCTTTACTAAATTTGAGTTCCCTCTCAGTCAGTCACTCTCGACGTCACGTCGGATGACCGACAAATTGGGATCTCGCTTAGAGAGACCAATCTACTTCGAGTGTAAACTAAATGAGCCAATGCACATTGGCATGCGATTATTGCATCAA